CTTTTATTGACACATAACAAAATTCAGCTACTATTCTGATGACTAAAATTCTATTCTGTATCATGAATACTTTAAATGTATGTGTTACATATATACATTTAAAATGAATGCTTATATGTAAATGTATAAATGAATATATATGAAACATACATACATTTAAAATATTCATTTTAATGAATGTTAGTTACTGTAGCAGTAAATATTATATGAATCATAAAATATTTTTTATTACTAATCTCTGAAGAACAAATACCTATTAACATACCAAAATATACCAAAACTAATGTGACACACATTTTCAACTGAAAAGAGCTAAGAAATACATTTCATTAAATTGTCATACTCTATATTCCTATTGCAAATGCCCATGAAACAGTTACACAAAAGGACAGGGTAGGAACAAGCGGCATTCTTACCTCTGTACCAACTGATCTGCCTGGTAATATTTTCCATCAATAAGAATCTGTACATCAATTACATGCTGGCGTAAAAGGTTCTCACATTCGAGTATATAACCGGCAATTTCTGCTTCATTCTGAAACTGCACCCCTGATTCTAATCTTTTAGAATCCTGTATTTTAAAAGAACTCAGTATTAATTCTGTGAAACAAGTTTCAAAACCAGCCCCAAATATAAAATTCCAAATATTACAAGAGAAGCCCACTTGTGCTTTCCTTATTTTTCCTTGTTGGTTCAAAAATATGTTTTCCCTTTGCTTATTGTCCCTTAAGAGAGCACATACCAATCATAATCTTTAACGAACTTTAAGTTTTAGCGGACAAAATATACCAAGAATCAACCAAACATTATGCAAAAGTTTTAGTTCATCCAAACGCACACTGACCCCTCTACCACAACCTCAATGGTTCCCAAAATTAACTTACAGACTGGAGAGCATTTCGGGCAAGAATCAGTTTGTCTTCACAGATGACACTGTCCCTCTGAACTCGGTTGGCAATCTGCTGCAACATTTCCGACCTAAAAGATGAGACAAAATAAAATAAAGCTTCTCCCTTTGAAATCAAAGAGCTTACCATTCCTGAAAAGTGCTGCCCACCAAAAGTAAAACACAATCCCACACCAGTGATTCAATACCTTCGTCCACCCAAGGATTCATTGCCGAAGCTAATGCAGGAGTTGATCAGTGTCGGACCGCAATGAACCGAGAGAAGATTTTCATTTGAATCAAGGCTAGTTCGAGTACTGGTGGTATTACTGAACACAGAATCACTGCTATGGTAACTGTAACTATTACTGTGCATTTTTACTCTGAAAATGATACTCTTTCTTTGACCATTCAAAGTAGACTTTTAGAAGGTCTAGGAAAAAAGCTCTACTTCTAACGGTGAAAAGTGGCAGCTGAATGTTACAGCCTTTAATGGCTCCTTAAATATGCTCCAACATGCATATGCAACACACAGCAAATAATATGCTGATAACTATACAAAAGAATCTCGCCTAAAGCCATCCTTTGCTAGCTGAGTTTGCCTTTTGTAGCTTGCATTAAAACCCTACAAGTACGGACAAAGCAGAGTGATTTGGGCGTCACTGGAATAGATATGCCAAATATTTTCACAAAGAGTCATCCAATTGCAACCACCTAAAAAACAACCCAGATGCCTCACAGAAGCCCAGGTACAGCAAGTAAAGATTATTCTGGCAATACTAATCATCAGCTAAAAGAACACAAATATTCCATCATGGCCTGACTTCTGAAAAGCGCCAAGTCTGTGTTGAATAACATAACAAAGGCAAAAAGCTAGACACCATCAA